ACACTGACAGCACCTCGGATCTTAGCGCTCCCGTCATCCAGGTGGGGCTTTAGCGAGGAGATCGAGGGAAATAAAACACCTGGAGTCGATTCCAAGGAGGCCGGAGACGACGTATTGAAGGGAATTTCAGGATCCTAATATGGAGGTACTGTACTATATAAGGGCATATTTTTTGGGGAGATTCCTACATAGGCCTTATATATGGTAGGTACCTCCAATCAATCGGTTCCTGGCCAGCATGGCCATTGACAAATCATCCAAAAAGCTGAGTTCATACGATGGCAAGGTCGAGTCTAACTCGTTTCCCATCCCAATGAGTTGATGCGGGGTCATCATCGCATTGAATGCTCCAAGGAAATGCTATGTACATACATAGTAAAAATTCTGTACCCTCTGGTACACGTTTACATAACAATGGAAAATCACCAATTTTAACGGGTAAATCAACTATAGTAATTTTATACATAGTAAAATTATATGACACTAATTTTTACAGACCATCAGACATGTATTTCAGACATGTATTTAGCAGAGTATTGAACATATACATTCATGTATATATTTAAATGTATTTTATATACATGTCTGAACTATCCCACAAATCATTATATACCTGGGTAAATTATAGCGACCTCACTGCGACCTCCCTCCCTGGAATGCTTAGGATTCTGGGAGTTATCCCAATGCCGCATGTTCAGCTTAGGGAACTATGATAATTCACCCAGATAGCTGGTTGGTGGATGATAACTATAATAATTAACAATAATGGATGAAAATAATACCGTAAAATTGACCTATAACAATATAATCTGGTTGGTGGTTTGGAACCATGGAATTTTATGACTTTCCATTCAGTTGGGAATTTCATCATCCCAACTGACGAACTCATATTTTTCAGGGGGTAGGTATACCACCAACCAGATAGTTTTTAGTTGTGTTTTTTAGTGGACAATGACAATAATTTTCAGGTGAGTGAATTATATTGAATTACTATAATTTCCATTATCCAGCATTTTCGAGGACCATATTGGGGTCCCGTTTTGACTCACAGCCGGGGTTATTCATGGTTAGTCCATTAGATGGCCCCCCCAAAATGTAAGTTTAGAGCTCGCTAGCCTATGGGAAATGCAATATTGGGGATGGTCCCATCGTCAAAAATATAGATTTTTATGCGTTTTTTGTGATGGTTCAGACATGTTAACCCCCCCCGGTGATTTTCAGTGTCCGTGGGTCGGTCAACCGCCTAAAGAGGAATGCTGGTGGGCCGATCCTCATGGATCTAAAGGAGAGTGGGCCCAGCAGTGTTGCAGGCACCGTTCTGCAACGGGTTGCGGAACTCGGGCGGAAGAAATCGGCAGAAACTCTGGGATTTTTCCAACAAATGGGTTTTAGTGGCAGAAAATATAGGGATTTTCACCCAAGAAATGGCTTTGAATGGCAGTTTTTTTTTGGAAAAGGCAGGAGATTGAGATTTCACCATTGGCTCAGAGCTGGCTTCGAGAAGATACTGTATATTAGATCGATATGAAACACATGACATTTTAACATACCATATCATGATATAGCATAAGATAGCACAATATAGCATATCATCATAGACTCATAATGAATCACACACACATATATATATATATAGATCAGGAATGATAGACATACTTTTACCCGCACTTGACTTGTAAGGTCCGCTGAAGCACCAGGGTCACCAGGGTCACCAGGGGCTGATGTAGGCCCAGCCCATGTGGTCAAGCTACGTGCTGGGCTTATCCAACCTTTATCTATTCGCTGATGCCTCAGATGATGCTTGAAGCTAAAAAAACACCGGAGATTTTTACCGAAGCACACTAAAAACAAGATGCAGCACACGAACCCGAATGAAGTCACGTAGAACACTTTATACACTTTTGTGAAACAAGTTATTTGAACAGTCTTGTACATTTTTCTCCTGTTACCGTACAACTAACTAGACTGTGGAATGCGGAAGAGGGTGGAGTGCAAAGTGTAAAGTGTGGAGTGTAAAGTGTAAAGTGTGGAGCGTCAAGTGTAAAGTGTAAAGTGGAGTGTGAAGTGTAGTGTGTGGAGTGTAGGGTGTAGAGTACGCAAAAGTATTGCGCCTTCCACACAAAATGACTTTCAGCACGTTTGCGGACGCATGAGAATGTCACGAAGTGCCACGCCTGCCACGCAAAACCACATTACAACTTGCTTTGACACCTTCGAAAAGGACAGGTTTTGCAGCTTCCCCCAAAGACACAGCGACGCAAGCAGAAAGCCAGAACATCGAGACGAGACATGTTGGAGCCTCAAAACGAGCATTTCGCGCGAGGCTTCCTCAACATTTCACACTTCGTAGCTTCAAAATCGACGTTTTCCTACGAATTTTCTTATGAACCTCAAACTTTGCTACCTCAAAATCAATGTTTAGTGCGAGGCTTCCGTCAATTTTCAGCACATCTCACAAAATGCCACGCCTGCCACGGAATTTGCACCGTGTTGCCACTTGACGCAGCCCTGACAATGCGATTCGCCAAAAGCACGCAGCACGACTCGTCTAAAGCGCTGCGCCTGCCACGCAAAATGACGATGGAAGTCTCCAAAGTGCTGCGTTTGCCACGAAAAATGCAACCCGTCTTTTGAAAACGATGCGAAAGTATTGCGCCTGCCACACAAAACGAATTTTGACACGCTATGAAACATGTTGAAATGTCACGAAGTGCCACGCCTGCCACGTGAAACGAGGCTGAAACCTCCAAAAGTGACCGCTTTTTCAGAACTCGCCATAGGCACGGCCATACGGACCTCACGCGGACGCTTGCGAACGGTTGTGGACGGTCCCGAACGGTTGCGAACAGTTGCGCGATGTCGATCGAACACACCCTCAACCCCCAGACCCCCAGAGTGAAACGGGAACCCTTGCTACGCATTCGGGAGAAAGGAACTGTTTAAAACATGTCCCAGGTATGTATGCAATATACAGTAGATATATAATTTATATAATACATGCATTTGTATCGTATTGTATCCTAGGAAATAAGTCTAGGAAATAGGTTTTATGCATATATAAACATACAGTACAAAATTCTTCACCAACAGATACTTTTGCAAAACGCACCTGAGGTTTTGCTGCCCAAAGCTCAGCCGTTGAACGATCCGATGGGACCCGACGACGATGGGGACGATGGGGACGAACCAAGGGGAAATGAGATTTTACCTGGTTCTTATACTCCCAACTGCCCAAGTCGTGGCGAAATCCCAAAAATCTTGAAATTAGCTTGGGGGAAGGCTTTTGTGGAAGTCGTGGCGATGCGGCGTTTAGCTTGTGTTTAGGGTAGGTTGCTGTTTTACTATCTCATGTAGACCTAAAGTGGCGAAGCGGCGTTTAGGTTGTGTTTGGGGTAGGGCGTTGTTTTACTATTAGCATAGAGCTTTAATCTTGCTAGTTGCGTTCTCATTGTGTTTGGGATGGTTGCTGTTGGGTTCTGCAGCTACTGGGGTCTTGCTGTTGCTGCGGCTGCTGGTTCGACGGCTGCTGTAGTCATCCCCAAAAGATAAAACAGTAAATCACCATTAAAATAGGGAAAATTCACTTTTCCATCTTTTCGGTTCTTACTTATATAGCTTCGTTGAAGGTCATATTTCTTGAATTTTGATTACGGAAAGTGCTCCTGAATCCCTGCAATCGGACTCATTCAAAATGGGACTTTGATGCATCCCAGTTTGTAACTCGTATCCATAACCATGAAATAGCATATGCGCAGTTAAGCCTGGGTGATTATCCAGATACTGGGGTGATCCTCCAAAAACCTTCATGTTTGTTGGTTCTCCACAATATATATATATAGAGAACATACTATATATTATTCATAAGAACATTAAATTCATTTGCCTAATATTTCCCACCAGATATTAGGAACCATATATGTATATAATATAACAATCATATTGGCGAATTGTTGTCATAGGAACCAGATATTTAGGAACAATGTATCTCTGATATTCCCAATGAATATTGTTGTTATATAGAGGAGTATAATATCTAGAACCATTTCCAAGGTGGCAAAGCGTTTCTGATATGATTCCGTATATATATATATGTATGTATGTAATGTAATCTGAGGTAATGTGAGGTAATGTAATGTAATGTCATGTAATGTCATGTAATGTAATGTAATGTATGCATGTAATGTATGTAATGAATGCAATGTAATGTAATGTAATTTAATGTAATGTAATGTAATGTAATGCAATGTAATGTAGTGTAGTGTAGTGTAATGTATGTATGTATGTATGTATGTATGTAATGTATGTAATGTATGTATGTATGTATGTATGTATGTATGTATGTATATATGTATGTATGTATGTATGTATGTATGTATGTATGTATGTATGTATGTATGTATGTATGTATGTATGTATGTATGTATGTATGTATGTATGTATGTATGTATGTATGTAGTATGTATGTATGTAATGGTATGTATGTATGTATGTATGTATGTATGTATGTATGTATGTATGTATGTATGTATGTATGTATGTATGTATGTATGTATGTATGTATGTATGTATGTATATGTATATAATAACCAGAAACGCAATGTTCCTTCTCATTTCCAACTAGATATGAGGAACCAGAGATATTATGCTAATATTCATTTATAGTAAGCCCCAAAAAGATAGAAATTGGTAAAATCCCACCAAAATAGTGATAACTTGAACCTTTTCGGTTACTGTACATAGCAACCATACAAGGTGGTGCCCCAGTTCGGAATTGTAAAGTTGGTGACTATAGCTTCAAAAACTTAGTTTTACAGTATATATATATCTATACTTCATGGAGGTTATCAACCAACAGTTTCATCACGTTTGGGGAGCACAACCCTGTATGGCATATGCCAACTTCATCATTGATTACTAAGCATTATCAACCGCCATGAAACACGACTATCTCATGATTATCCACCATTGACCGGGTAAGAATTCCCAAAAATTACCGCAAGGTGATGTGAATGCTTGTCGACCAAGCTTCAGCGAGGAGGTCACCTGGGCCACCTGGGCGGATGGGCGGAGATAGCTATGGAAAATGGCCATAGAAATAGTTGATTTTCCCAGCTACAACATGGTGGATCTTTCCAGTTTGTTATGTAAACGTTTACCAGAGGGTATCACTCATTTTAGGTCGGTTTTTACTCACTTCTATCTGAAAAATATGGGGGGTTACTATAGAAAAAGACTGAAATAATGATTTTGACCATGAAACTTTTTTTGGACAATGAGGATGTAGAGGATTTATCCTCCAGTTAACATGCACAAAAACTATATGGAAATCCATCGGTGTTCCGTTCCGTTCCAATGGTGGATTTTCCAGTTCGCTATGTTACTGGCGGGTAATGGATAATGTACCATCTGGTTATGACTAACATAGCCATGGTATAGATGGCCCATAGAAATAGATGGTTTACCTAGCTATAAAATGGTGATTTTCCATGGCTATGTTAGTCATAACCAGATGGTAATTATGGTGATACACAATAGATCATTGATTTTTGTCGATGTACAATAGAACCAAATGAATGGTAATTCTGTATTTAATCATAGTTATTAATGGATATTCATGGTTGTGAAAATTGATCCTTGTAGACTTATAGCCACAATCGGTCAGCCCATATAGCCAACGTGACGTGTTGGGGAAGCTTTGTCTCAGTCATCGGTCATCTACTAAGTTGGGGAAGCAAACATCCATGGATCGCATGTGACCAAAGATGGGATACCCTCTGGTAAAGGTTTACATAACAAACTGGAAAGATCCACCATTTTGTAGCTGGGAAAATCAACTATAAACATTTGGGACACATAAAGACACTACAAAAATATCTCCCGATCCCAGGGGTAAATCATTTCAAGTCGCGACTTTTTTTTAAGCTTCAATCTCTCGGTGGGGTCCGGAGCGACGCCATCCAAAGATCGTTGCGACACGAACATCCCAATATGGGTATGGATCAATACCTATTTTTATCCCATTTTTAATGGAATTGACCAGCTATTGACCCATACCCATGTTGAAGATCAATAGCAATATGGGTTATTCACATCCATTTTAACCCAGCTATGACTTGGGGTTCACAGAAGGGGTACCAGGGTGCCATGACCCTAGAAATCTCCATGGCTTCAGGTTGCCATGCTTGCCATGAAGGGCCGGGTATTTGCCATGAATCACTGGTGGTTTCTCCAAGTTTCTTTCATATTTACCACAATGTTCTCTTAGGTGTTAGAAGTTAGAAATGCTGACAAGCCTGGTTTTTTAAGTGAATGAGCCAGATGACCCAGATTTTTTGTCATATTTTGGAACTTTGTTCCAAGAATTGTCCTCCCATGGATGATTTTCTTCCCAGTGATCTGTCGGACGCCAGGTGAAAAGAGCCTTAGATCTCGCCGTTGAGGCAGGGCCGGGGGGTGATGATTTAGAGAGAATGTGGTGCCCCCCAGTCATTTTATCAACTTTTAGCTATAGTGAATGGGTTTATGATGTAGAGATGGTGAACTAACATGTTATAACCATACTATGATAACTATGGTTTATGATACTTATAGTTGGTTTAAAAAAACATGAATACTAGTTCGTTATTTGCGTATAATAAACCATAGTTATTGGACTTATGTTCACCAACTTAGCTATCGAAAACGGGGGCCCCACATTGTAGGGAAAGACAGTTCAATTAGACGTGGATTGGGAGAATAGTGGTGAATAATGGTCAATGTAGGATCATCCCACTATAAATGGCTGATGATTGGGATTTAATGGGATGTTTTTCGTGCTTAATAGTGGTTAATAGTGATTTCCAGAGTGATTTTTCACAAATCTTAACAATTCTTAAGACAGAATGGTGGCTAATAACTCTCAAATTGCCGGTGGCATGACATGGCAATGATCAATTCTCCATGGAGGTTTGGTAAATCATCGAAGTAAATGGGTGACCCATTGCCAGATATTTTCGGAGGGTATGGATCGACATTTTGACGGAACCATGGCTTCCTGGTTGAAGAACCAATGGCAGTTGCAGTTAAAAGTGTCACCGGACACTTTTCCAAAAGAATGAGATTTCTCCAGAAGATGGGTCCCCTTTTCGATAGCCAAGTTGGTTAACATTTTATAACTATGTTAACTTATGGACTTTATGGGGGATTAAAAACTGTCTTTACTGGGGTTTATAGACCAAGAAAGATCAACCGGAGGCCACACCTTGCAAAGTTCATGCTGTGCAGGCTTTGCCCAGGATGATCACCCTGATTGATTCACTCAGATCGTATATACAATCTAAATAAGTAAATAGATTATATAACAAATAACTATATATACGTATATACATGATTCGGTTGTTCCAATGATAAGTGGCTTATTATATAGTTATCCAGAGGCGAATCGTTGGTTTCTTGTTTCAAATCTCGATTTCAAACACCATGCGACTTGATTTGTTTCCTCCCTGACCTCAAGTGACCTCAGCCCTGACCTTTGGATGCTGATAGTCGACCAAGCTCATTATTATTATATCACTTAAAAATAATGGATTATTAAGGGAGTAATAGTGGTTAATAATGGTTAATAATGGTTGATAATGGTTGATAATGGTTAATAATGGTTGATAATGGTTAATGATGGTTGATAATGGTTAATAATGGTTGATAATGGTTAATAATGGTTAATAATGGTTAATATCACTTATATATGATTAATTATGGATTATCACTGGTTCATAATGGTTAATTTTTTATGGCTGATAGTAGTGAATACTGTTGTTCACAACGGTGAATAATGCTTGGTAATGGTTAAAAAAATAGGGGGTTTCCATAGTCATGGGGGTACCCTAAGATCGATGGTTCATGGAACATCCGAAATTTCCCATGGCTGAGAACTGGGTGTAACCCAAGGACTTAGGACACCTCCATTTGTCAATGGATTGGTTTTCTTGGGAAAATTTTAACCGGAAACCAGAAAGATTTTCCCATTAAGATCATGGGGCTTTCCTGTAAATTTTCCCTTAATCCAATCCATTGAATTTGTGTTTCATATTATCTAGTGCATCTAGTATCTAGTGAATCTCAAAAATCGTCTATGATCTATTGACAAAACTATCCATGTTTATCTGAGCAAGTTAAAAAAAAAGGTGAAGGGATGTTCCCTGAGCCCGCCGCCACATATATATATACACATGTAAATCTAAGATATCCAATCATATGGGGATGGGTCAAAACCCTATCCCGCTTTTTTGTTCACATCAAAATAGCTGGGATTTATGGATGTTCATCCCCCTAAATAGCTGGTATGTATAGGTATTGATCTATAGCCATATAAGTGATATTAACCATTATTAACCATTATTAACCATTATTAACCATTATCAACCATTATCAACCATTATCAACCATTATTAACCATTATCAACCATTATCAACCATTATCAACCATTATTAACCATTATTAATCACTATTAACATACGTTTTTTTTATACATCTTGGATCCCAGCGATTTCGAATCCATCGCATCGGTCGGACCGATGGCGACCGCATCCAGTCGTGGCCAAGCCACGGCGACAACGCCTCGTTGCTGGCCTTTCGCACCGCTCCAGAGGTGCGACGTGCGACACGATGAGCGAATTGACGGCGACCGTTAATGTTACATCGACAATAGCAAAGGGGGGGTCTGCTTTGCAATAGTAAATCGAAAATCCCAACTCTTCCCCAAAGGCTTCTGTAAGGTTTTGACAAATCCTCTCTTTTCTGATGGGCTCTGATGGGATCTTCATTGGATTCTGATAGGAAGAAGGGAAACAATGCCTGCTAGAGCCAGGAAGGTTGTTTCTTATTGCAAGTGCTAATTCCAGTTTTTAATTGCAAATGCAAGGACCTGCAAGGGGGTACCCTTTGTGGACCTGTTTTTTGCAATTTTTTAAAAGGAGTTTAATAAAGAAAACAGCTTTTTTGGACAAGGTACAGTTTTTGATTTGGTCAAGGTTTGCTTTGTTTTTGCTTTTGAAAACCATGCAATCACAATTAAAAACCATTCAACCACAATTAAAAACACTAAGGAAGAAGGGAAAAAAATGCCTGCTAGAGCCAGGAAGGTTGTTTCTTATTGCAAGTGCTAATTCCAGTTTTTAATTGCAAATGCAAGGACCTGCAAGGGGGTACCCTTTGTGGACCTGTTTTTTTGCAATTTTTTAAAAGGAGTTTAATAAAGAAAACAGCTTTTTTGGACAAGGTACAGTTTTTGATTTGGTCAAGGTTTGCTTTGTTTTTGCTTTTGAAAACCATGCAATCACAATTAAAAACCATTCAACCACAATTAAAAACACTAAGGAAGAAGGGAAAAAATACAGCTGAACTGAAACTGGTTCTGATTTTTTCCTGCATCCATACTAAATCTCAATTAGCTCCTTTACAATTTAGTATTGGAAAATCTGATAATTTGGGAATTTTCTGAAAATTATTTGTAGCTATTGCGAATGAACCACATTTATTGCAGATGCTCTGGACCAAGGTTGATGTTTGCAATTTAAAATCAATAAGGCCTAATTTAAAATCAATAGGGGCTGAAAAATCAGATTCTGAAAATTATTTGTAGCTTATTGCACCCGCTTTACTATTGTCCGTCCAACATTACTGTTGGGATATGGATCAATAGTCATGAAAAATCACAATTTTTAATAGGTAAACCCAGGTAAACCATCTAGAAATGGGCCATGGCTTCCACGGCTATGTTAGTCATAACCAGAGGGTATATTGGGATATGGATCAATAGTCTGGGTAAATTGAATGGTGACTTTAATAGTGACTAATGATGGTGTAAATGAACATTAGAATCTACTACATATATCTGGGTAAATTATAATAATTCACTACCCTGAATCTTGCGGCCATTTTGGGATGATTCCCCGAATCCTAACTATGATTCCAGTGAGGGAGAACAGTGAGGTCGCTATAATTTACCCAGAATAGTGGATTATATTGGACAAAAACCATTGGATTGAGGTGGATTTGCAGCAAACCATTGGATTATGGACTATTGGATTATATTGGATTATTATTGATGTCATATTGTCATATGGTTTTTCGTTGCAGTTCATAGTGATATAGTGGATTGGGATCGTGGTGAAGAGCCAGTGGATATGGATTGGGTGGTTTTTGGAGCCAGTGAATAGCGGTTAACAATTCTCAATCATTCAATTATTAGTTGGTGGATTAACATGGATTAACAATATATATATAATTAGGAATAATCCACTAATTCAGGTATTTGTAGGTGTTATTGCCAATAGTTGTTATTGGTGGATACAACTGTTGGGTGTAGAACCTTCCCATGCCGCCATAATTTGTATTGTCCCGTTTTTTGACCAATTCTTCGATGGCCATTTTATGGGTACGCCCCAGTTTTTCACCATTTATCATTTTTAGTGAGACTCATTGCGGATGGGTAGCTGAAAATAGCCATAAAACATGATGAGGATGGTGGAGGGAGAAATTCACCAATGAATAGTCCCTCAAATAGCCCACCAATGAACCTCCACCATCATTTTGAGGGACTTTTTTAGCATGACCTCTTCAATGGCTGGGAATTTTAAGGATCCCTCACTTCAGTGGAAACAAATCCTTCTTTGAGGCAAGGCTTGATTGAAAACTAAACAGGGGAGAAATACCCTCTGGTAATTTAACATAGCTATTGAAAATGGCCATTTATAGTGAGTTTTCCCATGAAACATGGTGATTTTCCATAGCTACGTTAAATTACCAGAGGGTAATCGCTATCATTTGGAATGATTTTGATATTGGATGTTGGATTTTGGATCGTTTGGACCTTGAAAGTGGTGTTGATGGGGATTTTTTTTTACTGCTGGATGGCATGGCCTTACCCTCCTGTAATGTAACATGAAAACATAGCCGTGGAAAATGGCCCATTTACAGATGATTTACCCGTTAAGACTTGTGATTTTCCATAGTCTACTTGAGGGTAGCCTTAAATTTCCATTTCAGTGCAATGTTCATTTTCCATTATTTCCAGTATCATATTCATCTCAGATTGTTGATGGTCGAAAGATGTCAAATCGAAAGGTTCCCATTTTATTAAAAAGATGTATGATTTCATTTTGACCATACATTTCATTGTATTCTTTTAGAAGATTATACATTTAACCATACATTCCATTTTAACCATACATTTCATTGTATTATGTCAAAAGCTAGTTAATTGTACATGTTTCATTTTAACAATGGTCAATTAACAATTAACATAATACAATGAAATGGAAATTGCATACAATTAACACCATTAATTCTATTATCTTTATATACATAAATTAAGCAAACAAAAACTATCAATTTCATCATCCCAGCAACCCCCAGCAACCCATCCATTCCCTGCGTAAAACGCACCAGTAAGCCATACATTTCAAAACGATGGTCAATTTATGTTACACTCTGGTAAACGTTTACATAACGAACTGGAAAATCATCATTTTTAATGGGAAAAACACTATTTCTATGGCCATTTTCAATAGCAAACTGTTAGTTTACCATCATTTACCATCATTTACCATCATTTACCATCATTTACCATCATTTACCATCATTTACCACTATAAATGGCCATTTTCAATAGCAAACTGTTAAATTACCAGAGGGTAAAAGCTCCCATGAAACGATGGTGCCGTGCCCGCGAGGCGTTCCGTGCGATCATGGGACTGAATGTGGAGCTCATGGGGGATCACCAGGTGGTTTTTTGCCTCGGGGCGCTCGACTCAGTGGAACCAGGGATATAACTAGGGTGATATAACTAGGGATCTATATATATATATATATATATTATATATATAATATATATATAATATGTATATGTATCAACCCTAGTTATATGTGGATTAAGCCTAGTTATTTCATTTGTTTAAGGAAATTCAACAGAAGGACTTAGATATCAACCCTGGTTGAGCAAGCCTTGATTACCAGAGGGTAATTGGTGGCTTACTACCCACGAATCCGTTAAAGTAGCTTAGTTCACCCTAGTTATTTCAGTGGATGAATCCCACAAAAATCCCAGAAAACCAGGGTGAACTAACCTACAACCAACGGATTCGTGACTAGTTCGCCACCATACTATGGAAGATTGGGGCACCCCATGACTTCAAAGATCATCCCAAGATGGGAACAACAAGGTTCAACGTTGTTGTAAAGTGGGACGTTCCTGCAGGTGTAGACGGATAGTTGGGTTTATCTGAAAGTAGGCTACCACTGGTACCACCCGTGTTTCTCGTGGTTGATAAGATCATGCCCCCGTTTTTGACATGCCACAAAACGGAGGTACACCCCATTGAAAGAGACACACCCAGTTTGGTGAATCAACCATTAGAGTGTGGATATAAGTCATAGCAGCTGACAATGATGGTTGATAGGTAACTGATAGGTGTATATATATATATATACATACATACATATATATATATATGTATATGTATATATAGCGACCTGAAAATAGATAGAACTGTTAACCTGGACATATGAGGTAGCTATCATCTAGACTATCCTGGCAACACGGCAACGGCATGTTTTTGGGCTTTACGAAATGTGAGTCAACCAGCATGTGTTGGTCAACTATGGAGGTATATATATATACATATCTGGTTGGTGGTTTGGATCATTTTTTGTTTTCCATATATTGGGAACAATAATCCCAACTGACTTTCATATTTTTCAGAGGGGTAGGTATACCACCAACCAGTACATATATATATATATATATGATATTCTAATTCAACCAAAGGTTGGTTTTATGGCAGGAACATCATCTGATGGATGTTGTTGGGAAGGGTCGGTGATTGCATTGGATCGAATTGTCCAATTTGACTTGAGGAACACGAAGCAACTGGGGATGCACTCTGCGAATCTAAAATAAAAAACGGTCCATGTATCTGGGTAAATTATAACGACCTCACTGCGACCTCACTGGGAATCATGGTTAATAAGGGGAATCATCCCCAAATGGCCTTAATTCAGGTTAGTGAAATATTGTATTTTACCCAGATAGATGATTTTCCCATTCAAGCATCGGTTTTTGTATGAGATTTTCCAGCTAGCCTGTCACCGGGAGGTAATCAACCAAGAAAACTTGGTACAGCAACTGGTTAAAATCCTATTTTCATGGCTTATCCACATGTTTGCTAGTAAATTCATCTTCTTGTCGCGTGGTCCCCGTGTTTGTATGCTGGGATCAATTCTTTATTTTTCGGGCTACATCAAGGTGGTGCCCCCTAGATAGCTAAGTTGGTTTATAACTCCCATAACTATGGTTTATGGATGTTTATGGCAGATATAACTATAGTTAATGGGGTTTATAACCCAACTTATAACTGGGGGGCACCATCCTGATTACATATATGATCATTTCGTTTGGCCAAAGTCTCGGTAAAATCCTCTTGTTTCTGCATGGAAATTTTCTCTGTTGTTCACCATAGCTGGTACACATTTCCAACACTCAACGTATCTATTTATACATGTGTCCATAAACAGTAGATAGCTTACTTATGTCTATCATTGTCTATCAACTTATCATTGATATCACACATAACTGTCACAACTCCAATTCTTCACTAAACATCCTCATTTTCCAGCCATTTTTCAGCAATTTTTCGACATTCCCCATGGCTTTCCCCGGCCACGTCGGCGTTACGTCGGCCAGGCCTGCGATTGTGCTCTGGCCTCGGCCGCTGCGGCCTTGATCTGGCACCAGGAGGAGAGCCCAAAGTTGGCTCGGCGAATCCATCCCAGGCGCGATCGCCGTTGTTTGGCCGGCTGAAAGAGATACGATAAAAACAAGTTGGGAAAACTAACTGGGGCTTAAATTTGATGGCTGAAAAATATATACCATATTTAAGATCAGAAGATATGATGAAAACGGGTATTTTGCGTGAAAAACATAAGATCGTATATCTGATTTGAAGTATTGTTGGTTATATTAAGATCATCACAACATATGTGCATAGGCCAAATATGTAACACAATTCGACATCGCTATATTTCCCAGTTGCGGCTGTGCTGATGAAGATGAAACTGTTGAAGCGGGGAAAACATCTTGGAATATATTGGAATATTGAAATTGTAATGGGATTGAAAAGGGATTATTCAATGGATTGGTTTAAGGAAAAATTACAGGAACCCCCTCATATTTCATGGGAAAATCTATGGTTTATTATGGTTTCCTGTAGATTTTCCCTTAAGCCAATCCATTGAGATTATAACATATGATAGAGGGTTTCTAGAACCCACGAAGTTGACCATGAAGATTCCCCCAGTCAATTTAGGTTAGCTCTTGACCCATCCCAGTCAAAGAGCTGGGAAGGTCGGTGGAAACCCACCAGAGCTTGAAAGTCCCCATCTCGTAGCCGAGCCGAGGGGTTTAGGAAAGATCCACCCATTTTTTTCTTGGTGGAACCATCTATTTCTATGAAGCATCTATACCATGGCTATGTTAGTCATAACCAGAGGGTATATATATGGAAATATGATACATCCGGCTTAGATTTTTTTTGTGATATTTCCATATTTCCATGGTAATCAACATGATATCCTAGAGTTTCCCTGGACCCCAATGAGCCAACACCCGAGACGGTGGTGCCGTTCGGAATGTTAACCAACTTGTCACTGGAATCCACCTTACTATCTTAGGGGATTTTCAGGACCCTAAAATCGAGGTACGTCAACGAACCTTTTTTTTGGCCATATGAATTGTGGGGATATTCCCTGAAACATAGGCCTGAAAAATAGGCCTTATATATGGTAGGTACCTCCAATTTAGGTTCCTGAACTGGCCATTTATTGTAAACGCGGTTGTTGGTGATGAATAAATCCTTAACAAACCCAAACATTATTGAGGATGTCACCGAACTGAGGGGGATATCATGGCAATATCATGGGGAGTTTTTTGTTTTTTTTAAAATATTTTTTTCAACAAGACTATGTTTGGGAGTTTCTGAATAAAATAGGGGAACAACTCCAGAATCCAGTAGTTTATCACTTGCATCCTTTTTCATATTTGTTTGTGCCGTTTTGGGGGGATGTATACCCCATTTTCGAACATGAACATACCCAATCAAACATACCAATATTATCCAATATTTGTTTGGGTGTTTTCAAATACTTACCCTCTGGTAAACGTGTTTACAGTTTTTTTGAACTGGAAAATCACCATCTTTAAGTTCGATAAATCAACTATTTCATTGTGCCATGGGTTCCAGTTCGCAAACTGTGACAGTCATTACCAGAGGGTATCGTTTTTTTTTGTGGCTTTGAGATGGATGTAAAACAAGATCATCCCTATGCCGAAGCTCCAGCATTTCTTACCAATAACAACGTTGGAGTTACAATGATACTTGTAGTTGAGTAGGCATATTTTTTCAGATATATCGGACACTACCCTCTGGTAAACAGAAAAAGTTAGCTATTGAAAATTGCCATTTATAGTTGAATTACCCATACAAAATGGTGATTTTCCATAGTTATGTAAACGTTTACCGGATACTATATCATTTACCATGAACTTCCTTGCTGGGGATTCAACGATCGAAACGACGGTTGAAACCGGCTATCAACCCAAAAGCGATGTCGATTAAATGATGAGAATTGGATGTCCAGAAAAAGGGGATTTATACATGTATATAAATAAATAAATAAATGAATATATGTATGTATATATATATACATATATATGTATCACAATGATAGTAATAATAATAATAGTAATAATGTTTTCTTGGGAAACCATCAAATATAAGTATGTATTTTTTTTTCTGTGATTTTTCAGCATGTAACTCGCGAATGATTTTTTGAGAGATCTCTGGCCTTATCCCGGTGCTGGGTCGAACAACTCTGTGGTGCTTGGCGAATGCGAACGTTCCAGGCTGTATATATATATATATTGGATGGAATACCCCCTGGTAAATTAACATAGACCCTGAAAATCACTAATTTTTAATGGAAACTAATCTTCCAACCCCTATCTGCCAGGGTCTATGTTAATTTACCAGGGGTATCATTCTGGTTGGTGGTTTGGAACATGGCTTTTATGACTTTCCATTCAGTTGGGAATTTCATACTCCCAACTGTTACTCACTCATATTTTTCAGAGGGGTTGGCTGAAACCACCAACCAGCATTGATGGATAGCAATGGATATTCAAGGGATCTACAGATATAATATAATATGCAAGAATTGCATGAGCATATTGGTGATTTCATGGCGAGATCAGCAACAAAGAAACATTAGAATTTATTGGGATGATGGGAGTTTTAATACCAAGCAGTTTTTTGGGGGGATATGAGATAGTTTTCCCTGGCAGTTAAGATAAAACCCTTGACCGCAGGTACCATGTTAAGAAAGGGTTTTTTCGTGTTTCGAGGTGTATGTTATTTTGCAAGGTTTTTTTTTTTTAATGGGGATATACTGTAATGGGGATATAAGCAACAACACAATGTGTTTTTTTTTGGGTCTGTTTGAGAATGGGGTAAGAACATATCACCAATAAGAATGGCAATGTTCAGGTGGAAAAGAACATGATTCACCAGGTTTTTTTTTGGATATGTTGGTCCTTTGACCTTTGGCCATTTTGACCCATATATATATATACCTAACCAGCTAAATAACCCCTTTTTTTTGGATGCTATCTAAGATTGGCTATGAAAATGGGATAACATGGGGATGTAAGTGATATGACTGATATAGTAGATGACTTTATTCCTAAAAATATTGGAATGGGAATTAACCGAAAGTGACAGAAGCATTCAAAAAAACAATGCAACAACAAAAACATGGGGAACACATTGATACGGGTAAGAAAAGGACATGTTCGGCCTCTCTTGTTTTTTTTTTTTAAACGCGCCCTCCCACTTTATTGATGTTCATGTTTTTGTGATTCTCATAAACAATAAACGTATCTATCATTTTATATTTCGATTTGAGGGTTCCTAAGTTCATGATTTGCAATCATATTTTCTTCGACATTTTGACATGGGATGAACCATGGATGACTTGGTATGCGATCAGCAACAGCGGCAGGGGATTTTTCAGCCCATCAGAATCCGTCAGAGCCATGTCACCACCCATGAAGCACCACGCAGTAGCCACAGAAACTGGAAACAAATGCCACTGAGAAACCTCCTTGATGATTAAAATGGCACCACATCTTACAATACTGCCCTGTTATAAGTTTATAACCCCCATGAATACTATAGTTATTTGCGATTGTTGTTTGCGTAGCATCAACTTTTTCTTACTGAAGTTATGGTCCAATCACGCGATTTCGGGCCCAGCGAGGTGGTTTGTGTACCACATCGAGTGGCAGCTTCTGCTGAACTCTGGCTGGGGCGGAATCTTTGGTTGGCTGAATCGATTCCCACCAGAGAGCGAAGGACCCCCTTGGGGGGATCTGGCACGGGCATCGGGCTGCTATCCACCCCTGGTTGATGATTAGTTCGGGGATGAACATCTACCCAACTTATATCTTGGGGATTATAGTACTCCAAGAACGGGAATCCCTATAAACCAACCAGGATGAAACGGAACGATAGAGGGATTTATTTCACACTCATCTGGAGAAGTGCAAACTAAGGATCTAGGAGAAAATCGTTTGAACCAGTTGAAAATTGGGACTGGGAAATCCTCATCAAGGGTCAGAAAACCGTGGGCATGGTGAAGGATACTGAGAACCCATCTGAGAACCCAGCGAAGTTTGAGAACCCAGTGTTCGTGGATCCACCATGAACCATCCCCAATGTGCGGTTCATTGAGGTTTGTTGGGTATACTCCCACCGTTCGTTTTTTTTTTTGGGCAGATTTGTGGTTCATTTTCAGAATCCATCAAATGAAGGTTTCCTAAACTGGGGGATCCCCAAGTCACCATAGGTTCCAATACTAAAATGGTCATCCATGACTTGGATGATTTGGGGACCCCCGTATTTCAAGAAAGCCCCAAATGCATTACTTGGTGGCGAACTACCCACGAATCCGTTTAGTAGGTTAGTTCACCCAACAGTTATTTCAGTGAATTAACCCTACCTATCTCACTAACAAAACCAGGGATATAACCTACTTAGGATTCCTGGGGGCCGGTCCCACCAAAAATGGAGCGATGAGGCGATTCCGCCGACCTCGACGACCTTCCCTTTGAGGCCCACGCGGGAACTGCACATGATGGGTACAGGCCACGTCCTTCACGTCCGGAATCGCGGAGCCATGACGGTTTTTGTAGTGATTATTCTCAAGCCATCCAAACTTACTGGTGCGTTTTACGTAGGGAATGGATGGGTTGCTGGGGGTTGCTGGGATTATTACTACTAGGGATTATGGATCATTCCCGAAAATTCCCTGCGTTCAGCACCAGTAAGCAAATGTATCCAACTGTTTGATGTTGATGGATTTGCCACAATTCAAAATGTATCATTCAATTTTCTTGGAGGTACCCACAGGAAGGGCCTCCTCAGTTATAAGTTGGTTTATCTTGCCCCAATGAAACTAGTTCGATATCTTCACCAACTTAGCCCATTCGCGAAGAGTTCAATGAACCAACTTAACGATATAAGTGTCGAACTTGGGCCCTTGCTGAATCAATTCAAAACATTTTAAAATGTATCAAACATCATCAAACCACCCAATCTTTTCTGGATCTACATGCATTTTTCATCCATTTTCCATCCATTTTTCATCCACTCTTTGTCACAGGAGGACCTCCAACAGCGAACCAGGGACTTGATTGAGGTCATGAAGGCTGAACAATCTAAGGCGTTGCTGCGTGCGGATGGCAGGGCGGCTGCTAATGTTTAATGTTTATAGCCATAGTATACCTGCTAGTTATATATATATAGACTATATAGACTTTCAATACGTTATAATGTATAGATATGTATAGTTTATATATAGTTATATAGTCTATATAGATTATGTAGAAACTATATAGTCTATATATAGATATGTATAGTTTATATAGACTCTAGTAATTTCATCATCTTTTTAAGCCTAGTGAATCTCAAGTGAACTTTTGCAGCTTCTCCAAGGTCATAGGCCCAGTGTAGACTCCAGTTCTGAAGGATGTCCCACGGTCATAGCCATGGAAAATGGTCCATAGAAATAGATGGTTTACCATGGTTTACCAAAAAAAAAATGGGTGGATTTTCCATGGCAAACTGTTAGTCATAACCAGAGGGTATTTCAGAGATATTTCAGAAATACCAGTTGTTGGATGATTATTTGATATTATTTGCCCAAGTGTTGCGGTGCTAAGCCAAAAAAAAACAAATGATTGGGGTGTAGGTCGAGGTCCTTGCGGGATGGTCCTCAATCCATGACATGGATTCCTTGCAGTGCCTTGCAGCCTTTCCCCATGATGTTTGGATTTCCATTTCCATGATGTTTGGCCTTTATTGTTTTACCCACTATTAAACATAATTTTCCATTTCCTTTGTTTTTTTCCCAATGATTCGACGCAAGCCGTCCAGGCCCAAAGAATCATGAGCACTTTGGAAGACGGGCAAGGTGCACCTCCGTCGTGTCCGGATTTTTTTTTTCGTAAATTTCCGTGATTTATCTAGCAGGAAAGCATCAACATATACATATACATATATATATATATACACCAATTTATATGGGTTTATGTGGGTTCAGATATGGGTTCATACATGGGTCTAGATGGGTTCATATTTGAGTTTATAGGGGTTTATACTTGGAATTAACCATCAACTCAGGTGTTCATCACCAGAAAAGGACTATTGAGGGATGAACAGCTGGGTCCTGATCAGGTCTTGGCCCCTACCCCACATATTTTTCAGAGGTAAAAGGGTGGTTAGAACATCTAGAAGTTTTCTAAGATACCGCCATGCTCGTTCAGCAGCAACCAAGGCATAAAGGATAAATGAAACGACCTTGCCGCCAGCCATACTGATGGTATTTGATGGTTTGAAACGGGGGGAATGGCCACCTGGCCAATGGCTGCCAATGGCTGTGACTTTGATCTCAAATACTTGGTGTTGATTGATTTGGCCCCACGCAACCGGAAGTTGGCCCGAAGATTTTGCAGAAACACGAAACGCTGCAAAAAGCCCAGCTTTTGTGAGACCTGGCCCGGAGTTTGGAGACCCACTGAGAATCTCATAATCTACCCTCTGGTAATTTAACGTAGCTATTGAAAATGACCATTAATAGTGGATTTTCCCATTAATAGCATGGTGATTTTCAATAGCTATGTTAGTCATTACCAGAGGGTAGCTGGGTAGCAAGAAAAACATCCGCTACTTTTTGTGTCATGGAGGATTTTAGCCATAAAAAAACGACTGGCGATCACAGGCAACAGGCAATATTGGATTACTTGAGTTTTCACCATGATATATTAAGAATCATCATAGGTCATCTGTAATGGAAAATCAAATATGGTCATAGGTCACCAACCATAGGTTTTCCCATTAAATGGTGATTTATGGCAGATTAGGCAATCCCCCAATATTATCAAGAATCACCATAGGTTTCAATCACCAATCTGCCATAAATCACCATTTTAAAGGGTTTTAATGGATACGGGATCCCCAGTTGTCACCATAGCTTTCAATACTGAATCATCCGTGCCTTAGATGATTTGGGGCTAAACATATTTAAACCTCAATGTATACATACATATCTAAATACATATATATATATTACATATACATATATACATATATACATATATACATATATACATATATACATATATACATATATACATATATACATATATACATATATACATACATACATATATACATATATACTTTCAAAGCAATGATGTTCAATGCATGCCTGTTCGAGATCATCAGCTACCTGACTCTCCGTAGCTCAAGGGTGGGCTCAGGCATTGCCCAGCGGAGGGAGGGGCATTTGAGCTTCGCTGTCAGCCATAAAAGGTGCTACGTTTGGTGTTGTGCAGGGCACATTGAAGTTTACAGATCAGGGATCTTTCAACTACATTCCATTGTGGATTTTTCCTTCAGTTGTTGGATAGAGAGGGATTTTTGGTATCTCTCAAGGATCGGCCTCCCTACCAATCTTGAGATTGGTAGCGGAGCGCCTGGTCGACCGCTCCAGCAGGGACCTAGCTCCAAGATCTTTGAGGACAAGGACAAGGAGGTGAACTCTGTTTGGAAATGGGTGAAACATCAGGCGGGGACTCCGCCTCTTTTGTTCCAAAGGAGCTTGCAAGCCTGGTTCCGAGTTTTGATCCGTCAACAGACAGTGTGGACATCTGGACGAGCAAGGTTGAACTTCTTTTGAATACATGGCCACCATCCAAGTTGAATGAGTTAGCTACTAGACTGATTTTGGGGTGCAAAGGCACGGCATACCAGAAATTGCAGCTGCTCCGAGAAGAGGTACTCACAAATGATGAAAAGGGTATCAAGCGATTGGTAGAAGTGGTTGGGGGTACCTGGGGACAGGTGCCTCTTGAGAAGAAGTTTGAACTGGCGGAACGTGCACTGTTTCGCAGCATCCAGAAGGCCGATGAAAGCTCCGATTCATATCTGTCCAGGTGTGATGTGATCTGGACAGAATTGCTGTCTCGCAAGATGTCTCTCAGTGAACTGCAAGCCTACATTGTTCTCCGGGGGAGCAAATTGCCTCCGGAAGACAAGAAGAGGGTAATTGTAGAATCGAAAGATGCCTCAGACAGCTCCCTGACCATGAAGAGTGTGACCGCTGCCATTCGACTCCTGGGATCAGGGTTCTTTCAAGATTACACCGGAATCCGACGAGACAAGGTCGGGAAAACATATGATCACACTGCTTTGCACATGGATGATGACCCTGAGGTTGACCATGAAGCTTTCGTCCTGCAAGACGATCTGTGTGAGGATGACATCCTTGAAACACTGGCCGCTGAGAATGACGAGGATGCAATTCTGGTGATGCAATTCGAAGATTCTATCTCCGAAACAATCCAGTCAGATTCCGAGTTAGCTGCTTACTACTCCAATTACCAGGAGGCCAGACGACGTTTGAGTGAGAGGGTGAGAGTCCGTAGATTCTGGCCCATCAATCGCCGCTCTGACAAGGGTTTTGGAAAGAAGGGTAAGGGGAAAGGCAAAGGCAAGACGCCTTTCTCTGGACCAGGTTCTCTGGCACGACGTATCGCCAATTCGTTTTGCCGGATCTGTATGCAGAAGGGACACTGGAAGAATGAATGCCCACAACGTGCCGGTGGAAATTCCAGTAGTTCCACCTCCAATCCAGCAGCCAATGTTGCCCCGACCTCCGTGGTCATTGCCGAAGAAGTGCCTGAGGAGATTGCTCATTTCTCCATCGTGGATGATCAGGACCAACCAGCCGACCAAGTCTGTTTTGGGGTAATGACTTTTCAAAGGGGTAGCGATAGGACTGGGGATAATCGGGGTAAAGTGGTGATGAATAAGCTTCAGTTTGCCGAACGTTTTCACCACCAGTGGAAACGCAACGACAGGACCAAGAAGTCATCTGAAGCCTGCGTGCCTATCCGATCAGAGTTAGAGCAACAGCCTCTGGCATCCGTGCCAGCCTGTCCCGCATCAGAGCAACTGTCTCTGAAGCCATTGCACCCGCCCGAAGCTGCCGTAGACACCCAGATCTGTGATGTACATTTTGCAACAGCAGGGACTGTAGGAATAGTTGATCTTGGAGCTTCTCAAACTGTGATAGGTGATGCCCAAGTAAAGGAACTGATTCAAAACCTGCCTGAAAAGGTCCAAAGCCAAATTCAGCGGACCACTTGCAACTTGACGTTCTGGTTTGGGAACCAGCAGACTCTCACCAGTAGACATGCTTTGTTGTTGCCGCTGGGTCATGCCAAGTTTCGCATAGCAATTGTTCCAGGTAAGACTCCTTTTTTGTTGTCAAGTTCGTTTCTCAAAGGGATCAAAGCGGTAATTGACACGGATACTGGAGTTTTATGGAGTAAATCACTGAACAAGGAACTGATGGTATCTCAATCCAGCAAAAATCTGTTCCTCATGGACATCAGTCAACTCTGGCAAGGACCCAATGAAGAGCCAACAGTACAGAAATCTAGTGCGACCGGATTTACTTGTCTTCAGGTGCCAGTCCAAAACGCAGCCAACAGCCCGATGCCAGAGTTATCCGAGAGTGTGAGCCCAGGGTTTTCACATGAAGAGGTCACTCAGGTCACAGGTGGAAAATCATGTCAGAAAAATCAGCATGCCACAGGGTTGATGCCAGAGAGTGTAAACGATCGAAATCACATGAACATGCCCAGTCAATTTCATGATGCTCAACCGAGCTCTCCACGACCAAGCAGTAGCCTGTGTGACACTGACGCTCAGCACATCAATGACGTTCACCATGTCCAGCGTTGCCACCAAGTTGTCTCAGTACCGCGAGGGACAGAGGAAGATCGAGTCCAAGGACGAGATGGGACGCATCCAGGAGATGACGCTGGAACAATTGGCCAAAGAACGAATCTCGTTCGGCAAGGCCAAAGTGGGACAAGCTTTCCCGGAAGTGTTCGAGGACCACTCATGGACCGATTGGTTCATTCGGACATACGAGAAGAGCCCAAAGTCCCAGCACCAGATGTATGTCCAGTACGTCCTGAAGTGCTTGGATCACGAGATCGCCCAAAGCGTGACCAAGAACCAGGTCAAGAACTCCGGGAAGATGAAGGAGTGCCGAGCCTCAGCCTCAGCCGATTCCGATGCATGGGATCAGATCTCCGAACTGGATCCAGTGGAGACCTTCTTCGAAATGCCTGCCCCAGCCAAGATTCAACATGTGGAAGAACAGATGGGAAATCTCTCCATGGAGAACAAGCAGTTAGCCAGTCGAATCACGAACATGGAGATGGCCATGCAGGAGGTCCTCATGCATGTACGTCAACTGAGTGTGAAGACCGAGCCGTAGAGAGTTCCTGTTCTGCTGATGTCCACATGCATGATCACAAAGTGGATTTGGATTTTGATTTTTTTCCTAGTCAAGGACACAACAGTTTCAAGGCCCGAATCCAGCGAGATGTGAAGAAGTTTTCCAAAGAACTGCATGACATTGTCGTCCAAGTAAGATCCAAACCAAGATGTCAGCAGCCGAGACTAGATTTGCTCGAGGTCATGTGTTCAGGGGAGAGTGAACTCACCAAACAAATGCAGAGACTTGGAGGAAAAGCACAAAGATTTGGTCGTTTGCAAGGAGACCTCAACACTGTGGAAGGCCGAAAACGTCTTTTCACCATTCTAGCCACTCAACAGCCAAAACATGTATGGGTGAGCCCCGAATGTGGCCCATGGTGTCAGTGGAGTCAATTCAACATGAATAGGTCTCTTGAAGGGTGGGAGCAAGTGATGAACAAACGAGAGCAACAACTCTGGCAGATTTCTTTGGCAGTGGTTCTATATCGTTTTCAGAAAGAACATCATAACCATTTTGACTTGGAACAACCACGAGGATCGGCTCTCATGAAAACACCTGGAATGCATGAGATTCTCCAAGGAACCCTCTGGAATGAGTTTGACATGTGCAAGGTGGGGGATCTCCGAGATCCACAGACACATGAACCGATCCGCAAAAGGATGGCAGTTTGCTCCACATCCGTGGACATGCATGTTGCCCTGCATGGCAAGTTGTGTAATGGTGAACACCACCATAGAAACATCGCTGGAAACACGAAGGTCCGTGGGGTTACAGTGAAGTTGTCGCAGTTCACCGAGCTTTATCCTCAAAAGTTTGCCAAGCAAGTTGCCAAGATCATGTTACATGACCAGGGTCAGCGATGTTATGCCATGGTTGGTGAGACGACCAATGATCATCCCACCAAACGCCGTCGATTGGGGAGCAAATTAAGCCCTCAAGCCATTGCAGAGAGATTTGCTGAGCCCATGGAAGCTGCCGTCACC